AGACTGCTGGCGAAACACGGGGGCGATCAATCCAAAGATGGTCATGTCAGTGAAAAGATGAAAAAGTTGGGTAGATTTTTACTTGCTGCCAAGTCCCTTGACCATGAAGCTGAGATGCTGCAAGATGTTTTGGTGCCACCTAAATTTTCTTTAGCTGTGCAAGCAGCAAAACAAGCCTCTGGGTTGACCAGCTCCAAGTACAGGTATAACACACCATCTCTTTGTTAGGACACTTGCTGAAGGCAGTATGTGACATTGTGATTGGGGATCATATAAAGGCTGAACTGCCTGTGCTGAAGGCAGTATGTGACATTGTGATTGGGGATCATATAAAGGCTGAAAATGATGCAGCTGCAGGCAGAGTAAAGAGCTTCTTGGACTTAGTGGCAGCAGAGTGGGACCTCTTTGTGTCACGCCATGCACAAATGAACTTAGAAGAGGACAGGTGGAACAAAAAATAAATGATCCCACTCACAGAAGATGTGATGAAGCTGCATCAAGTATTGAAGTCCACAGCAGAGGAGGCAAAAGTGAAACTCATGGAAGTGCCTAACCCTAAAGCATACAAGATTCTCAGTGAGTGCCTTCTCTCACAAATCATACTTTTCAACCAAAGACGGCAAGGTAAGGCAGCAAAATTTCCTCTGTTGACCTATAGGAACAGAACCAAAGAACCAAATGAGGGCATCATGCAGTGCCTTTCAAAACTGGAACAAGATTTGAGTCATGAGTTTACCAGGTTGGTGATAAGAGGGAAGAGAGGCTGTAAAGTACCTGTGCTGCTTACCAGCGAGATGATAAAATCACTTGATTTCCTCATTGAGCAAAGGGGTGAGGACAATGCCATTTTGGGTAGTAATGAGTACGTCTTTGCAAGACAGCATTCGGATTCTCATCTCCAAGGTTCAGACTGTTTGAGGAACTATGCAGCTGCAAGTGGGGCAAGGAGGCCTGAAACACTCATGTCAACTCACCTGAGGAAACGTGGCTACACTTAGATAATGAACCTGAAAGAAAATGAGTTGGATCAACTTGCCAAATTTATGGGACATATTTGTGCTCATCGTGAATATTATTGCCTAACCGAGAACACACTTCAGCTTGCAAAGATGAGCAAGCTGCTCATGGCAATCAAACGTGGAACTGAGGTCTACAAAGGCAAATCTCGTGATGAGATTGATTTGGGCATACAAAGTGAGTAGAAAATAGATTTCATAATAGAATGCAATTTATACTTAAAAATGCTGTTTGTGTTTTTTTTTTTTGTTCTACTCGCCACTTTAGTATGTGAAAAAAGATAAGTTCACAAAATGTTGTTTTTATCAAAACAGCTGGTTTGTCTTCTGAAGTTAGAGCTGTACAGAAGTCTCAAGTCAGTGAAAGTGACACAGAAGTCTTCAATGAGAAGTCTCTGGAACCAGCTCAAGACTCCTATAGTACGAAGCCATCAGAGCTGTTACCTTGAATATCAGCTTTCTTTCCCATCTATAAATGACAGAAAGTAACTAAAAATGTCCATCCTGGTTACTTCTTCTCTTTAAGGGTCCTCCAAACGCAAGAGGTCAAAGATGGCATGTGAATCATCTCATGTTTCAGACGATATGAACATTTTTTGGGTCATGCGAGGAGCACAGTGGAATGAAATATTGCATTATCTGATAAGTTCTCAGACTTTAGTAGTGTTAATTACAGTCGATGTGGATTAACAACACATTACAAATTAGATCACTAGATAAATGTTTGATTTATAAATATTGAGAATGTCTATCACATTTGTCATTTCTATTTCAGCTGTGGACCTACAGTTACTCAGCAAAAACAAACGCCAGCGCAGGCCGTGGAGTTCTGCATTAAAAGCAGCGGTGTGGCGACAACTGGGGCAGTGCATCACTATGCAAAGAGTTCCTGGTAAAGAGGTCTGCCTCAAGGCACTTGAAGCAGAACCAGCACTGGGCAGTCGCAACTGGAAAGATTTAAAGAAT